CAGACCTGTTGGTGGCGCTGTGACGCAATGACGGGATCAAGCCCAAACTTCCGTGACGGGAACTGGGCATGCGCAGAATTTAGTAAACAGACAACATGGCGAGTGGGCGAGCTGGTACTACATTAGTATGGACGGACGATGAGGTTGAACTGTTGCTTCGGGTCGCACTGGATTACAAAACCAACAAGCTACATTGTTGTTGTCATTATTTTCTGAGTGCGGCGCATGCGTGCTTTAACAAGAGGCGGGGCGATGACGCGTCTCAGATACATTGCGGAGAGGCAGTAACCACGGAGCGGCATATACGGAGTTTTGAAATCTTTCCACTCTGGGACCTACTTTCAAAAATGTTCGTTTACACCCCCCCAAAACGCCGGCCTCGTATGGACGATACACTGGATTGATAAAGTATTTTTGCGTTTAGGCCTGAGCTTGACTTTGTGTGGACAGGGCCATAGACACACACAGACACAGGTGAAACACATCAGGGCGGGGCAGACAATCAACAGGGAACAGGGCATGAAGCAACTGTCAAAATAATGACCGAATACAAAAATAAAATCCACACCATGACAGATGGATCTCAAAACAACTCTGCGTCAGTTTTTGATCAGGGAACACTGTTGTAACATTGTTAAAAGCTCAAAGATGTTGATTAGGCATTACATGTCTCCTTTTAGATTAGATAAAGAAACACATAAAAGTGGGGAAATTTCATTATCGCTTATTACAGAACATAAATAAATAATGCCAAGGGCTGCCTTGAATCTTGACTTCAAACAACGTCATTAGAGAGTGTAATTTTATATAGATTATTTATCATAAAATCAAGTTGAAATTGAAAATCAATTAAAGTTGAAAATTCAACAATTAGAAAATTGAATGCGGAAAAACAATATTAGAGTAGTCAAATCTTCCAAACGTTTCCAAAACTATTTGAACCATTGACTGTAAATATTTACCACCATTGAAGCTAATATTTCATCACTTTTGCCTTCTATAGGGCTTTTTCAAAATGGCCACGGGGCAAGAAACGATGAAGAAACGCAAATGCGCATATACGTGCGTTATCCAGCATGAGCCCATTCATTTTTTGAGAGGAAAGAATATGCCATACAAAAGCATTGGGCCATTCTCTTTCTGGGCACACCCCCACAGAACAAATGCTGGAGGAGTTCATCTTCCTACACATGTCCCCACATCAAACCGCTCAGACGAGTCCCCCAGATTCACACCTCGTCAATAAAAACCATCCTAGACTTTGACATCGACATATACTTCCTCTTCCAATGACTCAACCTTTTCCTGCGAAGTGTAAGTCCTGCGCTTGAATCCTGATTGAAACAAGTCCTTTCTGAGTGAAGATTGCATGTTCTCCCCGTGTCTGTGTAAGTTTCCTCCGGGTGCTCTGGTTTCCCCGACCACTAAAAACATGTACAATAGGTCTGACATGCGCCTACTGTACGTCCACACGTCTGTCTGTGTGGACTGAGAGACAAATGCAGCCTGTGGAAATTCAATTCTGGAAGACTGAACTGCTGCCGCCCATCTCCTCCAGGCCTGCCTCGCATCCTCGGCCTATCGCTCAGCAGCGCCCATTTCCCGTCAACCTTTGACCGCCAGGCCAGCAACTTAAAAGGCGGAGACTCCCACTTCTCGGCCTTCTCAAGCCTCGCATCCACCGCCTCCCCTCCTCCTCATTCTTGCCCTTCATCGAGCGTGCGCTTCTTGCCCAAGTGCCACCAGTACCTAGGTCCCGGGGGATCTCATGCGCACACAAACAGGAGCCTCGCTTAACAAAATGCCACACCGGGGCCAAGGGTGCCAAACATCCTTTAATAAAATACTTTGAATTGCATTTGTCTCATAAGTCTCTCCAGATTGAAATGCCCAAACTTACTGCTCACTTGCATCTCACTAACTTACTGACATTGGAATGTAACTTAAGTTATCATTTTGGTAAATCATATGTGGCTATGTGCTGAATGCTCTGTATTGTAATTCACTTTAGCTCCAGCAAGACTCCGGGAGGTCTGGGGAGCTCATATGTTAAACAGCAGAGGAAGATAAGATAAGAATTCCTTTATTTGTCCCACAGTGGGCAAATGTCGTTGTTGCATCGCACATATAGGACAGTAGTAAGAGCACACAGGGATCACACACAATATATACACTATATACAAATAAGTATTAGCTATGTTTCTTAACTAACATAACTAGCTGCAGATGCTGAAAAAGCTTCAATACCAGTCAAAAAATATATATGTAGTAGTGCAGTTATATACTGTACAGTTAAATAGTGCAGGATAAAAAGTATATAAGTAAAGTGACATTGTTCTGTGACATTCTGAAGTCTTTGTTTACGCTAATTCGGAGTGTCTTTTGTTGTGTTGGTTTCTTCCTTTCCTATTTTGCATACAAAGGTGTGTCTTGTTCTACCAAAAGGGGCTTGCAGACTGTGAATCTTCAGACTTGTCCTGAGAGAGGCTAGGGTCTGTGCCTTGCCTCTGTCAAGACATTCTCCTTGTGACAATGTAACAAGTAAAATATTAACTTTGTCTCTTTGTTGTGTGAGATTTCATCAGGTTCAACTGTAGTTGAAACAGCTGAAGAAGATGAGCCATAGTCTGGGATCGCGTCTTTAATTCAGACAGAAGACATGTTTTATTGTCGATGGTAGAGACAGCACGAACAACACACACACAGAATGCAAGTGTTTATATACAGAGCGGAGGCATGGAGACCTCCAATCAGCAGCTGCCACAGTGCCATGTAGCTTGGCCTTCAGATAGACAAAACAAGGGAAAAGTACTGGCTTCTGCACATTGATAGAATGATGAGTTTAACTTTAACAAAAGTTGCTTAAAAGTGTTATGAAATCTCACATTCCCCCCTCTGGTCACACATTCACGTGTGACCATCAGGATCGATAAACAGCAACATAACATCATAACTCAATACTTCAAAAACTCATAAACTCGGTACTTCACTCGGTACTTCAAAAAACTCAGAACTCGGAATACTTCAAAAACTCAGAAAACTCATAAAACATGTTCAGATCTTTCATAAAACTTGTCAACAATCTTCAGTAAAATACCAAACTTCATCAGTCGATGGTGGTTCCAGATATTGCTTTGAAAACAGTCTCTCCCACTTCTCTGTGTTGGTTTCTTCAGGCTGCATTTGTGTCGAGCCATGAATTCTTCTGTGACGTGTCTTTCAATCGCACGTTTCAGCTTCAGTGTCCAGATTCAGCAATTCAATTCAGTCCAGATTATGTCCAAATTCAGAAATCCAGATTGTTCCAAATGATGTCCATGCAAAAGAGGACGATGGTATTGTCCATGTCTCAGCAGCTCACAGCCTGAGTGGAATCAGGGGCTGTGCAGATTGTCCATGTGCTGGTCCAGATGCATGGTTTCTCTTGAGGTTTCTCAGTTTTGGCTTAAAAAAAAAACACATTTTGTGTAAAAAAAAAAAGTCTTCTGTTCTGTAGATGTTACAGACAAGGCCCGCATCCTTCCACCACCTGAAGAAGATGACAAAGTCTGGGATCGTGTCTTTCATTCAGACAGAAGACATGTTTTATTGTCGATGGTAGAGACAGCACGAACAACACACACACAGAATGCAAGTGTATTATACAGAGCGGAGGCATGGAGACCTCCAATCAGCAGCTGCCACGGTGCCATGTAGCTTGGCCTTCAGATAGACACAACATGAAGTGGAAAAGTACTGGCTTCTGCACATTGATAGAATGATGAGTTTAACCTTAACAAAAGTTGCTTAAAAGTGTTATGAAATCTCACACAGCATTATCACTTACTAACTTAGTGCTTTACAGTTTCCCCGTCTTACACTGGGCCCACCGTGGTCCAAGGCTCCCCCTAATCCCAAAGTCTTTCTCTGCACATCAATGTTGGTTTTCCCTCCAAATCTGCTCTTGTGTGGTTTCTGCTTTCCATTTTTTCCATCCCACGCTGTGCGGCAGATTGAAGAGACCCCGCTCTGAAATCAGCTGCTTGGCTAGGTAATTTGGCTAATGGACTAATCTCGGCTAAACTTTTGTAAATGAGGGTTTTATGAGGTGACTCTAGGAAAGAAACATTTCGACAATGTCATGGATGATAAACATGCAATTGAGCAATCACATTCAGATGAAAGCGCCGGTGCAGCTGTAGGGAAATGTCTCTTGATATCTCTCGGTAGTAACGATGACTGCATCTATTATATGAATATGCAATCTCTATTTGATTTCACAGACCTACTAAATCACACAAATGACTATTGAAATGAATAGAGCTAATAATGTTGTGGATTGAAAAAAAGAGTTCTGGCAAACTTTGTGGAACATTTGATTTTGGTGGCTGTTAAATTCTGTAACAATATTTCATCTAATCTTCCATGCAGAACTTACAATGATGTCTCAGAGGGGCTTGGATTTTATGTCTCTGTTCAAGAGCTGTCTGTCTATTTCCCCTGGTGTCTTTATGCAGGCTGTCTGGAAGAATTGTCAAAGCTGAAGCAAAGTCAGCCATCAATTCAAATGTCAGTATATGTACAGTGCGGTTATGGAAAGAAACACAGAATATACATTGAAAAATTACAAATGCCTTTTCTTGTTTCCTCCCTCACCAAGCCGGAAACAAAAATGTACGTGGAAAGAGTAAATAAATACAGTATTGTAAATGATAGGAATACAAGGAAATACTACACAGACTATGCCGTTTCCAAACTTCTAACATTAATTTACATTGATGCTAAAGCCTAAACCAACTGCTATCTCAACAAAAGCAAAGTGTCACAAAAAAAAAACCTGAAGTGACACCTAAAGCTACTGTGACAACACAATTTCCCTTTTGGATCGCTAAAGTCTGTCTAAGTCTAAAATGAGACAGACCAAATAAAAGTTATACAAACAATGTCTCAAGGTCCAACAGGGGAAGATTTCCTACTTCACAAAACACCAGTGTAATAGTTCAAACCTTGGTTCATAGACTTCAGAAGGTGTGGATGAACCGGGCGTGGCCCACAGTGTTGGCCTCAGAGCAGAAGAAGGTGTGGATGAACCGGGCGTGGCCCACAGTGTTGGCCTCAGAGCAGAAGAAGGTGTGGATGAACCGGGCGTGGCCCACAGTGTTGGCCTCAGAGCAGAAGAAGGTGTGGATGAACCGGGCGTGGCCCACAGTGTTGGCCTCAGAGCAGAAGAAGGTGTGCATGAACCGGGCGTGGCCCACAGTGTTGACCTCAGAGCAGAAGAAGGTGTGGATGAACCGGGCGTGGCCCACAGTGTTGGCCTCAGAGCAGAAGAAGGTGTGGATGAACTGGGCGTGGCCCACAGTGTCGGCCTCAGAGCAGAAGAAGGTGTGGATGAACCGGGCGTGGCCCACAGTGTTGGCCTCAGAGCAGAAGAAGGTGTGGATGAACCGGGCGTGGCCCACAGTGTCGGCCTCAGAGCAGAAGAAGGTGTGGATGAACCGGGCGTGGCCCACAGTGTTGACCTCAGAGTAGAAGAAGGTGTGGATGAACCGGGCGTGGCCCACAGTGTCGGCCTCAGAGCAGAAGAAGGTGTGGATGAACCGGGCGTGGCCCACAGTGTTGACCTCAGAGCAGAAGAAGGTGTGGATGAACCGGGCGTGGCCCACAGTGTTGACCTCAGAGCAGAAGAAGGTGTGGATGAACTGGGCGTGGCCCACAGTGTTGGCCTCAGAGCAGAAGAAGGTGTGGATGAACCGGGCGTGGCCCACAGTGTCGGCCTCAGAGCAGAAGAAGGTGTGGATGAACCGGGCGTGGCCCACAGTGTTGGCCTCAGAGCAGAAGAAGGTGTGGATGAACCGGGCGTGGCCCACAGTGTTGACCTCAGAGCAGAAGAAGGTGTGGATGAACTGGGCGTGGCCCACAGTGTCGGCCTCAGAGCAGAAGAAGGTGTGGATGAACCGGGCGTGGCCCACAGTGTTGACCTCAGAGCAGAAGAAGGTGTGGATGAACCGGGCGTGGCCCACAGTGTTGGCCTCAGAGCAGAAGAAGGTGTGGATGAACCGGGCGTGGCCCACAGTGTTGGCCTCAGAGCAGAAGAAGGTGTGGATGAACGGGGCGTGGCCCACAGTGTTGACCTCAGAGCAGAAGAAGGTGTGGATGAACCGGGCGTGGCCCACAGTGTCGGCCTCAGAGCAGAAGAAGGTGTGGATGAACCGGGCGTGGCCCACAGTGTTGGCCTCAGAGCAGAAGAAGGTGTGGATGAACTGGGCGTGGCCCACAGTGTTGACCTCAGAGCAGAAGAAGGTGTGGATGAACCGGGCGTGGCCCACAGTGTCGGCCTCAGAGCAGAAGAAGGTGTGGATGAACCGGGCGTGGCCCACAGTGTTGGCCTCAGAGCAGAAGAAGGTGTGGATGAACCGGGCGTGGCCCACAGTGTTGACCTCAGAGCAGAAGAAGGTGTGGATGAACTGGGCGTGGCCCACAGTGTTGGCCTCAGAGCAGAAGAAGGTGTGGATGAACCGGGCGTGGCCCACAGTGTTGACCTCAGAGCAGAAGAAGGTGTGGATGAACCCGGCGTGGCCCACAGTGTTGGCCTCAGAGCAGAAGAAGGTGTGGATGAACTGGGCGTGGCCCACAGTGTTGGCCTCAGAGCAGAAGAAGGTGTGGATGAACTGGGCGTGGCCCACAGTGTCGGCCTCAGAGCAGAAGAAGGTGTGGATGAACCGGGCGTGGCCCACAGTGTTGACCTCAGAGCAGAAGAAGGTGTGGATGAACTGGGCGTGGCCCACAGTGTTGGCCTCAGAGCAGAAGAAGGTGTGGATGAACCGGGCGTGGCCCACAGTGTTGGCCTCAGAGCAGAAGAAGGTGTGGATGAACCGGGCGTGGCCCACAGTGTCGGCCTCAGAGCAGCAGAAGAAGGTGTGGATGAACCGGGCGTGGCCCACAGTGTTGACCTCAGAGCAGAAGAAGGTGTGGATGAACCGGGCGTGGCCCACAGTGTTGGCCTCAGAGTAGAAGAAGGTGTGGATGAACCGGGCGTGGCCCACAGTGTCGGCCTCAGAGCAGAAGAAGATGAATACAGCTTATCGAAAAGGCTTTCCAGCCACCGTGTGGTTAGGATTTCTTGAGTTACAAAGACACTAACTGAAAAAAAAAAACTAAAACAAACTGGGGAGTATGATAATTCAGTTTATTCTTCGAAACATGATGTATAGAGATTTGTTGTTTGGACCCAAACGTGTCATTGCGTTAATCACGCAGATTTTTGGATTCTGAGGTTTCATTTTGACCAGACTCTTAAGTCTTTTTTTGTATGAGTAGCTGTCTTTTTATTTTGGAATCATATGGTCATTACAAAGATGTACATATATACTTTTTTTTTTAGAAAAAATAAATCAATGCACAATGCATAAAAATATAAATTAAAAAATACTGTTCTCAGATTGTGGCTCAAATAAAAATTCACTGAAGGCTGAGATCTTTTTGTTCTCTTTTGCATATAGTGCCTTGCATAAAGTCTCCTCTTTGTAAATCAGAGCAAACTGGAAAGCTGCCTGACTCCAATTTTCAGTAATGAACAAAATTGCTTTCAGAGAATTTAAGTAAAAAAATAAAAATGCAAATATCATCAAGGGCCGTTTCTAGCGCTCTCCTAATAATTTAAAAGCCCCTGCTTAGTGCAGGGACGTATGACACATACGTCTAGTTCATTTCTGTATTTACTACAGCCATTTACACCTCGGTCTCTCAAACGTAATGGAAGCCTAATCTGATTCGGACATTTTAATGGAGGACATCAAACAATCAGAGCCTGCACAAGACTGCAGCATCTGAATGTGTTTTAACACTGGAGATGCTCCCATTCAACAGATATATCTTTGTGTGGGGCATGGTGCATTAAACCCACACTCTTAAAGGACACGTAAACACATTATTCAACCAATTTTTAAAAAGGCCATTTCATGTTTTAGAATGTGGAACAATATCTTAAGTAGAAGTTATATTGTGAAACAAGCATGAAGGGTAAATAATGCTTTCCCTTTGCTTCTTCAAGAGGGACAACTACCAGCTGCAAACACAGACATGTGGTTGTGAAGAACATTCACTTGAGAAATTGCCAAATTAATTTATGGACAATACTTTTGTTTCAAAAGACGGTAATCTGCTTCTGAGCTTTTGGACTAAAGGGGTGGAGTTTAGAGTTTTGGTAACGCTTGTTAATGTCCGTAAATGTCCTGGACCCTCCTACATCACCGTCTCATTTTTTAGATTAAAAAAGTTGACAACCAAACCCTGGTGATTACATTACCCCATGATGTCATTAACAATTGTATTAGACACTATACTGTACTGTAGGGGCCTCCTGTAGCTCTGTAGCTCCAGACCATTCAGGTTCAGTAGCTCCCTAAAGAATTCAGCATTGTACCACATTATCTCAAATGATTAAATTTTAAGGCTATTTTAACCATAAATATTTTCATTATATTCACTAATGTAGGCTTATAAAGTAATATATCGTATATGTGGGGCTGGTGCTATGAGACTTGGGTGGCAGCTCTGACTGCCACCCCCCTGACCCAGAAATGGATTAAAGGGTAGAAAATGGATGGATGGATGGATGGATCGTTTATGTGTGTCTACTTTGATATGCTGTAGTTATTGTATAGACTATGGTTAAGGTTTTTAACTACTACGTGTGATTTTATTGTCTATGTTGAATATTTCTTGTGATCTTAATGTTTCTTTTGACTCATATTTATTAATGAATATGTAGAGTTTAATGTTTGTGATTCATGCCTGATGCGCTTTGTGCTGCCTTGTGTAGGGAAGGCACAACTAAAAGTTGATTGATTGATTTGATTAAACGACAGCAGAATATAGTTGCACTCTCCTTCCTCTGCTTTCTTCCACAGCTCTGAGAATAGAACACTTTGTTTCCTGCATGGCCGCTGTGGGTAGTGACAGAAAGACAATACGTCGCTTGTGATTAGGCCTAACTGGCAGCGTGATAGAGGCAGACAGGGCCAGCAAGGTGTGCCGCTCACACAGCTTGAAGGAACTCCAAATTGTCTCACCCTGGAGGTCAAACGCGCTCTGCAAAGCAAAGCTGCGCCTCTCCACACCTTGTTTGCCTGCTGACTGTGGATATTGCAGATCCGTGTCGGCTCCTCCAGCGATGAGCTTGTGATTGACAGGTAAGTGGCTGCTCTGTTTACAGCAGGGCCACCAGATCTGGGTTTTGACTCGTCCTTGACCTGCTCCTCACCCGAGCTGCAAACGTCTGGATTAAAGTCCCCTCATCAAAGGCACGTGCACCAAACTGAAGCTTTCAACTGAAACTCTCTGCTAGCACTGGACGGCGCTAATGGTCTTCTCATACGCTACAAGCCTCCAGGTGAATTCACACTTTTGTTTAAATTAGAGAAACTTTTGGCTTCAAGTGCAACGTCTTGAAGGTGAGTGAGAATCAAAATGGCTGCAAAGTTGTGTGTCTGGGATGAATCGGTTTGTTACTTCAGCTGACGTTTGATTCTTACACAACCCTTGGATAATTTATTTTTTATACCATGCAAAATTGAGTTTCTTGTTATGTAAATCACTTTGACTTACCCATTGAAGAGAACAAATGTTTTATAAAAATACGTGACAATCTTAACTTCATTGAAAACATTTGAGCTAATTTAGCTCTATTATGAAATCCACTTTTTGACATGGAGAGGACCAGTGGTGGGCTGTTAGGGCTGGAAAGTCCTTCTCTGCTGGCCTAAACATAATCGGCATATTCTTTGAATTTGGGTAATGATGAAATGTTTGTCAAATTTGGAAAAAGCTGATTTGAACATAAGCTAGGTGGAGCCAATTTCCTGACATGGACATGTGTTCCAACGTTTCAGAATAGGGCTCATGTCTAGATTTATTAGGACAATATTAAATTTAAACTGCAGGTTCATAGAGGATTCTAAACCACAGATTTTAAGCCTAAAAATAATGAGTGCAACACAAGCAATTACCAGATAATTATCATTACTAGATCTGCGTAGGTTTCCTCCGGGTACTACGGTTTCCCCTACCACTAAAAACATGTACACTAGGACTGTGCATGCACCTCCTGTACTGGCCCCGCTCCCATCTCTGTGTGGAGAGAGAGACACATGCCCAACAATAACAATTGTAAACCGCTTTGACTCTGGTCTGTGAAAGGCGGTATATAAATAATGATTTCTTACTTACTTACTTACAGATGACATAACTTTTTAATGTATGTCAATGGAGTCAGAGCAGTTGGAGAAACACTTGGGTTAGCATTATCCATCTACTGTATACAGTCTATTGTCTGGATCCCTGAAACAAAGGCTGCGATCAGCTGGTGTTTTTCCATGGTCCAGTTCAATCATCTGCAAATCACAGATTCAGGAAAGAAAATCTGTGAGCAAAGTATGTAAACACTGGGTTAGTGAAGGGAGCCATGGAATTTAAATTATTCAAACAAATGTGAATGAAATGCTCAAAAAAACAAAGTTAAGAGTGTAATGACTTAAGAGTATATTTGAACTCTTTCATTAGTTTTGAATGATTGAAAACATCTCATAGATCTTTTGTCATTTCTAAAAGCTTTCCTTCAAACCGATTACCTCTAAACACACACTGGACACCAGTACGATTCCTACCGTTATGCTCAGTAAATTTGGTTTTTATTATGAAAGTTCAGTCTGTGTGACCAACTTAAACTATGGCTCCCTGATCAGTCCACAGAAAGTTGAAGTGGCACTCCAAACCCACGGTCTAAAAATGAGTTGTCCTCCTCGCTGTGCTTCAATGGCAAATGAAAGACGCTTCACTGCCACTCAACCCCACATGGTCTGCTCTTCTCTGGGGAGCCACTCTGAGCACTGCCCACTCGCCCCATTGTGGAGGAACAAGTTGCCAATAGACTGTAGCAGTGTGGGCTTTCTACACACCCACACCTGGAAACAGAATGGTATACGATGGTACCAGCCTGCTAAAAAAGGATGGTCTTGGCTGTTTCTGGAATCCAAGCAAAATTAACAAAGACTTCAGTTTTACCTGAAGGAAAATGGCCCTGTACATGAGATCTGTTGCACAATTAGTGCTGCTCGGTTTTTATATAATCCAGCGTTATGGAGCTACAGCGCGTCTGGCCTTGGTGATTCCAGAAATGACCATCACCTCATCATAATCTTTTTTAGGAGATTTCACACAAAAGATCAAACACAAACTCGAGGCTACTTTACTTGTGGCTAGTCAGCTACTGTATGTGGTAAAGAATTACAACGGGACCTCAAACACATCCATCACACAAACACAGGATAGTGCACATGTTGTACAGTCTTATAGCCGAAAGATCTCTTAAAATGTAGCGCAGTGACAGAAACCTGTTGCTACGGTTACCATGGAGTTATGCAGAGGGTGAATTACAGGTTGCCCTGCATGAGAGCCCTCATCCTTCTCCCCATCACATGTTGGGCTTGATGGGAAAGGCTTCTGTGAAAGTGAATGATCATCTCCTTGGTCTTGGATGAATTAAAGATCATTTAGCATTTTTTTTTATTCAACATGGTTTTGAGTTTGTCCATCTAGAACACAGCCTTGAATATTAACTTTTCATTAATTGACCATGTCGAAAAGTCTACTTACACTTACACATTACTGTGAACCATTGATCAGAATGGTGGCATCCTATTAAGCACTTGAAAAGGGCACTTGTTAAACTGTAGGAATGGTGCTTTGTGCTTTCAGCCCACTTTCTTATCATGAAAATACCCACCAAGAAAAACTCAGACATTTACAACAAAAACATTTCAGCTTGTGGCCCCACAGTCTGGCAGGGTCTGCATCATTAAAGAGGCGCCTAATATCGGGATGCTGACTCCCTGTTTTTGATATTTTGTTTGCATTCCAGAGTACATTTTTACAAAACACACACGTATTCTCTTCATGATGAGTCCAGCCCAGAGGGAACATCATCACTTTGATCTAGCCTCGTCTGCAATGGGCTGATAAAAGCTACATATGTTGTTCACCTCCCAATCTCAGACTTAACTGACACTCACTGATGATGAAGAGCTTACACACGTTTCCACCGCAAAAGATTTAATAATGTGTTCAGCGTAGTTTTAAATGCATGTTGTGACAGGTACACACATGTTGCTATGATGTTGTGACAGGTACACACATGTTGCTATGATGTTGTGACAGGTACACACATGTTGCTATGATGTTGTGACAGGTACACACATGTTGCTATGATGTTGTGACAGGTACACACATGTTGCTAGGATGTTGTGACAGGTACACACATGTTGCTATGATGTTGTGACAGGTACACACATGTTGCTAGGATGTTGTGACAGGTACACACATGTTGCTTTGATGTTGTGACAGGTACACACATGTTGCTATGATGTTGTGGTTGCTACAAAATGAGCAGATCATTTGAGTATGTTGAGTCTTTTGCCCTGGGAAATGTCATATGAACTTGAGACACCATGGGAAAAAATGACCAATAACTAATATGAGTATGATTTCCAAATACTTTTTTTGTCCTTTCATCTGAGGTTTGTCAAAAAAAGAGAAAAGATTTCACATTCCATATTCATATTGATTCATTGTCCAGATGAATTTGAAACCTCTTCTACCACAGAACCAATGGACTAATCCCATTGAATAATTATGTTTGTCATTATTCTTATGATGGATTGAAGATACAGAAAGAGCTGTCAAAGCAGATTAAACCAAAATGGCCTTATAGTGCCCCAGTTCTCAGACTTTGTTTGTCATAACTTCTCATAAGTTGTCATAACATAAGTTTATAGTAGAGATGCACCAATGCTTGAGAATCAGTAATGGCTGAAATTGAATCCCAAAATAATAAATAAATAAATAGATAATGAGTTAATTTCCAAAATGCAGATATCTCTCTTTTGAATTTTGTGTCATAAAGGGCTCGACACACGGGAGGCGACAAATGAGAGCGATCAGTGAAACTCAACGCTGTCGCTCAGATCACATGACAGACGGGGCGCGATGCGGCTTGACCACAGCGTCCAAAAGTTGAGCCGATTTCAACTTTCTGGGATCGCGTCGCTGACCTGCACGTGCACGATACATGCACGAGCGGGAGGATTTCACACGCACGTTTTTCGCCCGTCGCTGAGCAGGAGGCTCGCTAGCGATTGACGCTATGTCGCGCACGTCCCATTGAAAATGAATGGAGGCGATGTCGCCTCTTGTGTGTCGAGCCCTTTAGTTGCTCATCATACACATGTTTTGTTGTTGGCAGCACATTTGAAGAATTTGCTAAAGAAGGGGTGAAACTTCATTTATGCGGCACTTTTCTGGTTTTTCACGAAATGACTCGGTAACGAGCCGATTGTAAGTTATTCCAATATTTTTCTCATATCACTGATATGTTTTTGCAAATGAACTATTCAAATACAATCCGTGTGTTTTAGTCTGGACACCATTTTAAATCAAAATGGTCATCATTTCAATCAGAGGGATGATATTAAATGAGCCTTGCGGGCCACTGTACCGAGCCAAACAGGTTCAGGCCTCCCACAAACAAATCACTTATTTAGAAGATTATTATTCTTTTTAAATTAAATTTGAAAATCTACAAGTCAGAATTAATAACATAATTCTAACACATTAATATGAAACCCAATATAAATCTCAACTGTTTGTAGGTAAAGCATTTCTCCTCAGTTTATGGCACATACTTACAACTGAGCTTGGTTTTTTTATTTTTATTTAAGGTCAATAAAATCAAGACAGACAAACAACCAAAATATATGCATAACAAAATACAAGAATCAAGGACAAAATGGACAAAAAAAGAGATCAAAGAAAACACAAAAAAACAGCCAAAACAAAGAATTCTGCACATTAACAAAAAAACAAAAAAAGTCTAATAATCAGAATTTCTTTCCAATGTTCAGGCACCAAGAATGTCTCATCTTTCGATACTAGATTTGAATAAGAAATGTTTCCCGATGAGACTTATTTTTTGTATATTTTCACTGTTTAAAAAAACCCAGAACATGGCCGCCACACACACATTCCGCACATGTGCTGCCGGAGTGGGGGGAGACGACTTTAGTGACTTTTGTGATATGGAAGCTATAGAATGGTGTATGCAAATGCGAGTGGAGGAGCTCACCCGCCACGGAATCCATCAAAGTTACTTATTTTATCAGACTGACAGCGCCGCAATAAAAGATGTCAACTGACTCATGGCTTTGTGCACAACTTTCAAGGCTTCTGTGCACTTAGGAATTCTTCTAAAATCAGTCAGAGCTGTCAAAAAAAAAAAGCAATTTAAACCCAATTTGGAGCTTCTTTACTGATACTTATGCATAAAGGACGGCGCCTAATGTTTTGGATATTTTCACAGCCTAAATGGAGAAGGTCAAAAGAAGTAGATAAGATCATATTGTAAATAACTGCATAGAAGCAAGAAGCTGTCGACGCAGAAGGTGGCCATACCGGGATGTGAAAAACAGATCTAGTCCGACCTCTGAAGCTGTGCAGGGCAGGACCTGGTTAGTGCTGTGATGGGAGACCTCTGAGAACACCAGGTGCCACAGTGGGGCGGCTGTGACTGTAAAGTGCCAAACTGTGGTTGTGTCCTTAGGCAAGACACTTCACCCACATTGCCTAGAATGAGTCTGTGTAGTCGTGAATGGTTAGTGGTGCTTGGAGGGACAGATGGCACATCCGGGTTGCCTCGCTTCTGTCAATGTGCCCCAGGGCAGCTGTGGCTACAGTATTTTATCACCACCGTAAATGGAGTGAAAGAATGACGACTTGTGAAGCGTCTTTGAGTATGTTCCCACTCATAATTCAAGGCCAAACCTACAGGGACTCAGGTTTTTATAAAGAGGCCCTGTATCAGATTCAACCTGACTGTTTTAGGGATAATAAATAAGGACTGTAACAGTTTAATAATAGTTAAAGTGACTTTGTTCTTCACACAAACATCCTCAATGCACTTTCTTAATTTGCAGAGCACAAGCACTTTGGGCAAGGTATGTAGCTTTGCTGTTGATTGGGTAAACACTATACAATATCTTCTTGTGTTGAAATAACAACACTGTGAGAGAAAAGAATATTCACGGTACAACAAACTTGAACCTCGATCAATAGAGTTTTGAAATAATCTGTGTTTTGCTTAATTCACTGCCTTTTTATTGTTGGAGATTGTGTGCCTACAAAAACATATATGTTTGGGAAAGCAAAGATCCAAAGGTAAAGGCATGACAACACACAGTGGCTGAGTGGTTAGCACTCTCGCTTCTCAGCAAGAAGGTCCTGGGTTCGAATCCCGTTTGGAACAGGGTCTTTCTGAGTGGAGTTTTCATGTTCCTGAGTCTGCCTAGGTCTCCTCCGGGTGCTCCGTTTTACCTACGGGGATTATTAAAGAGCACCTTTACCTAGGGCTGGGTAATAAATCAAATTTAGGCATATAATCGGCTTTTGAAAAAATCAAATTTGTGAAAAATGTGAACATCGTGAAATCGAATGAAGGCTATTGTGAGAGCAGTAATACTTATGTATTACGTATTGGGGGAAACAAATTAAAAATAGTTTTGAAACTTGAATATTTGCGGAAAGATCAAAACATATTTTTAAGGACTTTAATGAAAATCAATTTAAAATCGAGTCGTCTAAAGCAGGAAATAAAATCGAGATTTTCCTTGTTTTCCATATTGCCCAGCCCCACCTTCACCTTTACTGTGGTCATGCTTTGGCTGAAGACTAGACTTCGACTCCTCTACTTAATTCCACCATAAAAATGCATAAAAAGAACAAAACAGAGCTAAAATTAACATTTCCTTGTTTCCACTCCGACTAAAGGTCACATTTCACTCAGCGCACTCACACAGA